TAGGAAAGGAATTTACATCATTTTAGAAAAGATCTTGTATCGTTTAGTCGTATATTTTTATTTACTGATTCTCTTAAAATCTTATACAGAATCCGATAGAACATGTACGGATCTATAAAAGATTAATTATTTTTAAAAAGGCAGAAAGGCGCCAAATGAATATAACAGATTTTGATAGTGCAAACGTTGACAATTATTATATAACTGTAGTTTCTTTCAGAAACTTGAAAAACTTTTAAAAATTTTCCTAAAGTATTGGTAGTAGTAAGAGTAAGAAAATATTTCACCATCGTAAGGACACTTTTATTTCAATCAAATCGAGTTATTATCTCACTTTAGAAATGAACAAAACACAACATAATGTGAAATTACTTATTTTGTGACGTATGTTCTTTTAGCATATTAAATATATGTAATGCTACATCATCACCATGTTTAAAAAAATATAATTTACAGCATAATTTTAACAATTTTAACAGATATGTGATATAACTAAAGGTTATCTTTGAGTGAGCAGTATTTTTAGCATCGTATTTGCCGATGAGTGATGAAAGAATAATAAATAATAACACAATTTACGATTATCCGACTATGGGACATCGTAAAACTGCGTATATGTCGATTCGAGATGAAACTTGAAAAAAGAATAGCCAAAAGAAACATCCATCTCAGGCCACACCGTGCGCTGTCTAGACGAATAATATGCATCCAGCCGTATTTGTCACACACTCATCGCCGGCATCCTAGTTCCTCTCGTACACATACGACGCAATGCGATACTTTATTTCCGCCTGGCATATGCTCTAGCAGAAATAAAATAACGAGTGTGTGTGTGTGTGTACTCACTATTCTGGTGAGACGAATCAGGCGGCGCGATTTATCGCTGAATAATATGAGCGGCCAATAAATATGAGCGAGCACAGTACTGTACGGTAATCCCGTTAACGGTACCGCCGACACGGAATGCATGAATGAGAAAAAAATTGCCAAAGTGTCGAGACTCTCTCGCGCGCGCGCGCGCGCGCAGATAACGCTCGGCCGCACGTCGGTTCGAGTCAGCGCGGGATCGCGTAGAAAATTCATAACATTTCGACTAGCGGTACACGCACTCGCGACGAGTACTTCGCGGCGTCGTCTTCAAGCATGACTGAGCACGCGCGCGTTAAATCAGACGAGCGCGCGCGGGCCTATCGATGCGCGGCCACCTGCGAATGATCACTTATGATCATTTCCCCGATAGGGAAGATGCTGAAATGATAAGCGAGATTCGCGCAAGAAATCTGAACGAGCCATTAAGCATGTGGGACGACAGGGTCGTTCTCGCGGCCGCGGAAACGAGCGTGCGTGCGCGTGCACGTGCTTCGAGGTCCTTAACTCGAAGTCGGCGTCGCTTTTGGGTACGTCGACCCCCGCGGAGAGAGCCTTCGTCGAGTTCCCTTCCGACAGATTCTAGACGCGTCAAGTGATTCAAGGCTGACAAAACGTCGCCGCGTACACGCGTTCGCGAGGCGCTCGGACTGCGCGAATGGCGCAACGACGCGAGACGACGGAGGGAGAAAAAATTACGCGTTATGCAATCTTCGCGCTCGAGAACGTCCGGCTGACGGCTCATCTATCGGACGATTGACAGGGGCGATCCCAACGGAGCGCGTGATAATCGCGAGTGATAACACACTGGTCGACACGAAAATTCTATACCTCATCTAAACCGTCTGTTCTTGTTAACACATTGCGGACCGCTAAGAAATCTGTAAGACATACGCCTGGGACCGCACGTTTTTGGGCAAACTTGCGCGTTACTAACATTTTTATTGATGAAGCAATATTCGTCAAACTTTCAGAAATTGTAAATAGGACGCATTTTAGATATCATTGAAAAAATTATGTTTTTTTAATAATTATTATAATTTTTTTTACTTGAAAATAAATTTTTACGAATTTTTCAAAAATTGTAAAATAGGATGCATTTCAGGTATTATTAAAAATTGTTTTTTAACCCCTTGACATACAATGACGTCAAGGAGACGTCATTCATTTCATGTGCCATTGTAGACTTTGACGTCTCCGAGACGTCAAAAACTGTCTCCGACAGACTCCGTGCAGTATATTATTAGATTATTCAATTGTTTCACTTGTACGTCGATTCTGTTTTGTTTAGAATGTTCAAGATGCTCCCCCCTTCTCAACAATACCAATAACAAA